TATATATATATATTCTGATACAAGAGAAGTCCTCTGCTAAGATGTGCTCCATCATTTTGTCTTGATGTTTTTTTTGGAGGTATTAGCTGGAAAACAAATAATTCATCTTTATCCTGAGCCAAAAGAAGAAATAATTTGCTCTTAAAGCATTAGGACTCCCCCACCCCATCAAGCCCTAAAGCCAACTGGATCACAGTTATCAGTAACTCCCAAAATATTGGGCAGGGAGTTTAGAATTTGCAGTTCCCTGACATATTCCTGCCCCATGACCTTTGTACATACTATTCCCTCTACCTGCAACTCCATCCCCCGCCCACATTTCCCTGCATAGTTCTGACTCAACATTTCTTAGTTTAAAATCATGTCCCCGCCTGGCTAATTTTAGTCTTCACAACATATTCCCTTATTTTTTTCCTTGTGAGAAATTGTAATTTATCAATCAGGCAAGTATTTCTGGTATTCACAGGGACAGTCACTGTGAGGTGAGGGTAGATCAGGGCCCCATGCTCAGGAGGTACCCAGTTCTGGTGGAAGGGTCTGAGCTTAGAAATAACTGGAAAATGGATCCCAGACATACCTTAGAGGTCAAATTGTACACACGCTTGCACACACACACACACACACACACACACACACACATGCACGCACACACACGAGTCTCAAGACAAGGCTGTGTCTGCTTTTATGATTATTCAAAATTTCCAACCAGTCCCCCGGGGCTTTGATGACCTCTGATCCAAGGGTAATTCCTGTCCAACATTGTTGCAATAAGGCCCTGGAAGGTGTCAGCATATATTGGTGCCCACAGAAGCCAGCCTTCCAAGATGACCCCCCAACAATCCTGGCCTCTCTGGGTCACGCCCTCCCACAGTGAATCCAGGCTGACTTCCACAGTTACGTCATGACTCCCAGATTAGGTCATAAAAGGCACTGCAGTTCCTACCCTAGTCTTTTAGATAACGTGCTTTGCCCAAATCCAGCCACCATGCTGGACGACGCATGGCAGCCCCTTTGGAAAAGCCTGTGTGGAAGGAAGCTGAAGCCGTCCCCAGCACCATCTTGTAGCCCTATGAACAACCCACCTGGGGAGTGGATCCTCCAGGCCCAGGGTTACTTCAGACCTCTGAGCTCATGGTTTCATGCAGAAGTTGAAAGAAGTGAGTTTCAGATGCTTTATACCTTGTCAAAGCCTCTTCAAGCTGGGCACAGTGGTGCACACCTGTGATCCCAGTGGCTTGGGGAGGCTGAGGCAGGAGGATCTCAAGCTCAAAGCCAGCCTCAGTAACTTAGCGAGGCCCCAAGCAATTCAGCAAGACCCTGTCTCTAAATAAAATATATAAAAAAGGGCTGGAGGTGTGGCTCAGTAGTTAAGTGGCCCTGGGTTCAATCCCAGTACAAAATTAAAAAAAAAAAATCCTCTTCAAGAGATAGATAGAAAAGCAAGAAAGTTATTTTTGCCCATCAAATGTTGGTTGAAAAATCATACTGTGAGTATGCACTGCAAGTGGGCTAATGTAATAAATTCCATATTCTCTCTCTGTTCAGAGAAAGAGAACGTCCTGGATCAAATGATAGGTTCAGAACCTCAATCCCTGGGGCAAGTCTGGCTCATATTTTTTTTTGCATTTATATCCTAATGCTGAGAATACGGCCATCAAAGGTGGCCCTGTGAATTCCTCTTCACTTAGAAAAGAAGCTCTAAAATTTCCCTTCTGGAGAAATTTATATTTATCCAAACTTGAACCACCTGTGATGCAGACCAGCCCCTTTAGGAGCAAAGGGCTGCATTTCACCTTGTGGAGGATGCCACCCAAGCACCTGATCCCACCGAGGACGGAGGGAGGCAGATCACCTCTGGGGTGCCAGGAAGAATATTAGATGGGGAGCTGCCTGCACAGCTTGTCCCATTTTGTGTCACCCACACTTGTCCCCGCACCTGTCACCTCTTTCAGAAATTCTCATTTTCTTTCTTTGTCCCTCCGTTTTGTCATGCACGCTGTCTTGGCCATGTCCGCTCCTTCGCCAAGGCCACTCTGCTCTGTTTGTTAGACCCCACGTTTCGCCTCCTGCTTCAAGGTCAGAAGCGGTTTGATGGGGTCCTTTTACAATTGCATGCTGATTGTCTTCTAAAAATAATGCTTTCTGATGTATCCCAGTGCATTCGCCTGTCCTGTGTCACCGATGAAAACAAATTTAAAAAAATAAATCAGAAAACAATACTCATATGAAGATAAATACCTATTAATACACAATATATAAGGCAGATAAAAGTCATTTCCGCTGCCGGTGACTATTAATAATTTCAGGTCAGCATCCTTCAAGGCTTTTATTTATTTATTTACTTTTGTGAACGTATATACACTTACATGCATGCATATGTGATAATATAATATATGATATAATTATTATATAGTATATATATATATATATATAATTTTCTATAAATAAGATCATTTAAGCTGGGCATGACGGTGCATGCCTATATCTCAGTGGCTCAGGATGCTGAGGCAGGAGGATTTAGAGTTCAAAGCCAGCCTCAGCAAAAGCAAGGCCCTAAGCAACTTAGGGAGACCCTGTCTCTAAATAAAATACAAAAGAGGGCTGGGGATGGGGCTCAGTGGTTGAGTGCCCCTGGGCTCAATCCCCAGTTCTCCTACTCCCCTACCCCAAAATAAGATCACTTAATAGCATGCTTTAGCTTTATAAAAAAAATATCAGCAATATACTGTGAGCATATTTAGATAACAGTGATAATTTCCATTTATGAGGTTATTTAGGTACCAGACAGATGATCTCACATGTTTCTCAAAACACGAGTATGGGGCAGTTACTGGTAACTTTCCCATTTTGTAGATGAAAGTGGCTTCCTGGTGCCACGGAGCTAGTCAGCGTCGAGCTGAGGTTCTGTCTGCCGTCGTTGGACATCTGTCTAAACGCCTCGCTACCACCCATGTCAGCGTCTAGAAATCCAACTCTGGCTCCACAGATGAGCACATAGCACAGATTCCTGTATCACTTGTCTGGTCTCTGGTCTTGCTTCCTCCCCTCTCATGGCTGCCAATCCAATTTCCTCTGCCCTTGGCCATCTCCCCATACTTTGTTCCTTTTTGCTTTGTCTGTGGACAGTCTGTAATATTTTCCTTCTCCCCAATGTGTGTTTTGTCCCTAACGAACTGATTCTGAGGCGAGCTTAGGGGCTTGGTATAATTTAGCAATTTTATTCATAAGGTCTGCAAGTCCTATTTGCTTAGAAATAGACATGTTTAAGCTGGGCGAGGAGGCACACGCCTGTAATCCCAGCGGCTCAGGAGGCTGAGGCAGGAGGATCGAGAGTGCAAGGACAGCCTCAACAATTTAGTGAGGCCCTGAGCAATTCGGCGAGACCCTATCTCTAAATAAAAATGTATAAAACCAAAAAAAGGCTGAGAATGTGACTCAGTGGTTGAGTGCCCCTGGGTAAATCTTCAGTCCAAAAAAAAAAAAAAAGAAGAAACAAGAAGAAGAAGAAGAAGAAAGATGAAAGAAAGAAATCGATATGTTTAAAGAACAATGTTTCCTTTTTTCTCCCGGCTCCCCGCCCTGCTCTAATTTTGACTGTGCTCATTCCTAACCGGGTTCATGGTCTGCTCCTGAACTTTCCTAGCAATGCCTTGGGTGTGTCCTTCTAGGTCTGAAATTCTTCTCTTGGGAAACCGAAGAAATCATGGTTCTCCGTGGGCTTGAGTAGAGAGGGGGAGCAGGGGAACTGGGGGCACAGAGAGGTGAAGCCACGGGGTTTGGTTCACAGACTGGGAAGTCCACATAATGACCCTCCCCAATGTGTACTGTGTCAGGATCTCTGGGCACACCCCGTCTCGACCCAGTCATTACGCCCCTGAGAACCTGCTGTCTAAGGACACAACCCAGCCCTCACCCAGGGGCAAGTCTCAGCCTCTGCTATTGGCAGGGGGTCTTGAGCAGTTCTCTTCCTGCGGGGAGCAGCAGACCATCCCAGCAATGTCAAGGCTTTGGGAACGGTGGCTTTGCCACTGCTTGGGTGGCAGAAGGCTCTGGGATGTTCGCCAGACACCCTCTCTTTATAAGTGGCAGTTGAACTGCAGCCTCTGGTCCAGCACATCTTAGATGGATTCCATTTCTGGGAGACAGCAAGCAAGACCTTGTAAAGTAGCACGACAGCCTGCACGGTGGACTATGTGTCACTAGTGTCACCGCAGCCATTAAGATGAAGATGCAGCCAGGTGCGGTGGCGCACACAAGCCTGTAATTCTAGGGGCTCGGGAGGCTGAGGCAGGAGGATCGCGAGTTCAAAGCCAGCTTCAGCAACTTAGCGAGGCCCTAAGCAACTCAGAGAGACCCTGCCTCTAAATAAAATATTTTTAAAAAGGGCTGGGGATGAGGCTTAGTGGTTAAGCACCTCTGGATTCAATCCTTGGTACCAAAAAAAAAAAAAAAATGTGGAGCAGAAAGAGGTGATAGTGAAGGAGATGACAGATATGATGTTGAGTGTCAGCTACAATTGATGAGTATTGACTTCCCAAAGGAATGTGTATATAGGATTGTGTCAGTCATCCCCAGACCCATAAGGGAAAGAGATCCATGATCAACTAGTAATGTCGGCACCAACACAAGAAAGGGCATGGTAGCACATGTGTCAGATATTTGTCATAAGGATAGAATAGAGTCTTATAAGACTGGAGTGTCTTAGCTCTGTCACTTCCTGGTTGCAAGCAGAACCTTGTTCAATTGGCTTATTTTTCCTCCATTTTTCCATATGCCTTATGAGAATGAGATGTCTTCCTCCCTCTTCTTTTTCTTCTGATACTGATTGGTTTGACTTTCCCAGGTCCTGTGCCTTAAGTTTTAGGAAATGTCTCACCACTAATAAAAAGTTGGAATATGGCTCCGAACTCTTACCTCAGCTAATATTTTCTTTTTAAAATCTGATTTGCAGTAGCATGGATGTCCTCCTCACTAGAGACTCAAATACGATGTTCTACTCAGTTGTTTTAGTTGTATGCCTTTGGCAAATTATTTAATGGCCCCGAGGCTCGGGTTTCTCATTAATTAAATGAGCATATTTGTTTTAATGGATTGTTATGAGAGTCTATTTAGGTAATCCAAACTTTGTGAAAGAGTTACAGAGGTACAGTTCTAAAGTATTATTAATATCATAATTATTCTTTTCCTGCACATAGCTCTGCATTCAGTTGGACTAGAGGAGTAATTGAAAACAAATGTCAAAATGACCTGAACGTAACAATAGTGGCTGTAATTCCCATTTTCTAAGTTCCCTTAGCAACAGAGCTAGATCAGTTCCCATCTTAGCACTCAAGGATCAGGTTGCCAGATAAATTAAGGGGTGCCCAGCTACTTTTCATTTTAATTTCAGGTAAACAATTAACTGAACACCCTTATAATAAACATTTATCTGAAAATATAACTGTTTTAGTCAGCTGTTTCACTGAGGTGACTAAAAGGAGTCGAGTAGAACAACTGTAGAGGAGGAAAAGTTTATCTGGGGGTTCAGGGTTTCCGAGGTCCCAGTCCATAGACAGCAGGCTCCATTCCTCAGGGCTCGAGGGGAGGCAGGACATCATGGAGGAAGAGTGTGGTGGAGGGAAGCAGCTCACATGGTGATCAGGAAGCAGAGAGAGACTCCACTCTCCAGAGACAAATAGAGACCCCAAAGCCACGCCCCCAATGCCCCCTCCTCCAGCCACACCCACCTGCCTCCAGCCACCACCCAGTTAATCCCATCAGGGTTCATTCACTGGTTGGGTTAAGGCTCTCATCACCCAGTCATGTCTCCTCTGGACCTTCCTGCACCGTCTCACACGTGAGCTTTTGGGGGACACTCACATCTAAACCAACTTAATTGTTGCTGTGGTTTCAAGGTGTCCCTTAAAAGTATATGTCTTAGAAACAAAACACCCAAATTCACATATTAATAATATTTGGAGATGGGCCTTGGGAGGTGATTAGGATTCTATGAGGACATAGGGTTCAGGCCCCATGACATTAGTGACATAATAACAAAGAGAGACAGGGCAAGCATGCTTGTTTGGTCTCACCATGTGATGTCCTCCACCAAATTATGATGTGACAAGGAGGCCACCTGAGTCTGAGCCAGGACATTCATGCCTGACTACCGGATATTTGTAGATATCCCAGGTCCCAGAACTCTGTGCCAAATAAACTTCCATTCTTAAATTCCCTGCCCTCCGGTATTTTTTATTAGTATAAATTGCCTAGCTTCAAGCATTTTGCTACAGCTAAGTTGACCATGACAACTGAGCATCTTTTTATTAAAAAAAAATTAGCTAAATGGAGACTCTAGTGTTGCTAAAACTGTTAAGGGTTGGTAAACCTGAACCATTTAGAAGAGTGACACTCATACAGCAAGTGTGATAAATGCCACCAGTCAGGTAATGCTGAGGGCAAGCTCTCCCTCAGAGCATTGTTGTGATCATTGCTGAGTTAATATGTGGGATGGCTTTGCAGTATCACCCAAGACAGTGCAAGGTCTCCCAAAATGATAGCTTTTATGATGTTACTGTCATTACTAGATGCATCGACCATCAAATGTATTATCTCTTGTTGTGATGGAGGTGTTCCTACCTGGTGTCTCACAAAAAGGTTTCGACCAACCAGGAAGGGGTTGCCTGGTCCCCAAAGCACAGCAGATGAGAGCAGGATGAAAGGCTGCTCTCATCCATCCGTCATGAGGCCAGAGCTGGGTCCAAATCTCCAAGTGTCAGACGACAGGTCTGCATCTCTTTCCCCCAGCACAGCCACTGAGCTGTGATGGGACGGAGCGGGGAAGTGACTAGGATTTATGACAGTAACACCATCTACTGGTGTGTACCGAACACCATCACTCTGCAAATTCTGGAGAATGTTTCTAAGAACATAATGGCAATATCATTCATTATGGATCTATTCTGGCTCGTCTTTATATTTATTATGTTTCATTACATATATACATATAAATATAATATTTATAATAAACTATATCACCATGTGTTTTTAGATAACATTCTCTAGAGAATATAACATTAAATATTACTTAAATCATATCTAATATATACTATATATATAACTATAAAATATAATAAAGTATATTGCATTATGTTATTAGGTAACATATAAGTGTTGTTCATAATGTACATA